CCCCCAGATCTTCTCCCTCAGACCTCCTCCTCCCTCAGATCTCCTCCCTCAGATCTCCTCCCTCATCCTGCTCTTGTTGTATTTGTGGACTGCCTATATGGCTCTGCCAGCCACCTATTATTATCCACCTGAAAAGGATATTGCTCTTCTATCAACTTTATTGCATCCCAAGCCGCGACGTGTCCCCCCCACAAATGTTAAATCAAAACGACTGTCTCGGCACCCTGATGTGTGCTATTACTTTTATTGGCATTTGAGTTACCATAGCAACGTAATTTGAAAACAAAGACTACATTTTTCTCATTGAAAAACACTGACAGATCTCGGATCAGCCTCTGACTGCCACAGCGAGGTCACACAACCTAGAGGCCAGAAGTCTATGAACAGAACCCTTGATTAATTTTTGGAGCTATTTTGGATCAAGATGGCTGCCACATCTACCTGAGAAAACTCAAAATTAACTATAACTCAGTCATTTGTTCAGTCATCAGTCACTTCTGGTGAGTGAACGCTGACGCATTCTGGCTGCCACTGCTTGTCGTGCTTTTCATGCATTTTTGTTATGTTCGATCTTTTCTGCTTTTTTCACGGATCATTACCAAGGTATTTCTACTCTTCACTTCACACATCAACAACGTCACTCGGTCTGCCTATTTCCATCTCAGAAATATTAACCGTCTCCGCCCTTCTCTCACACCCCGCTCCACAGCCATCCTTGTTCACAGTCTTGTGACTTCTCAGATTGACTACTGCAACTCCCTTCTTTATGGCCTCCCCAACAAATCTCTCCAGAAGCTCCAGATGGTCCAGAACTCAGCTGCCCGTGTCATAACTCAAACCTCCTCCTATAACCACATCACTCCAGTCCTGCAGCAGCTCCACTGGCTCCCAATTAAATCACGCATCGTCTTCAAAATTCTTCTTCTCACTTTCAAAGCTCTCCACAACCTTGCCCCACCATACCTATCTGACCTCCTACACATCTCCATCCCCTCTCGCTCTCTCAGATCCTCTTCACTACACTTCCATGTACCCTCTGCCCGCCTCTCCACCTTGGGGAGCAGGGCCTTGACCTTCTCTGCCCCTCACCTCTGGAACTCTCTACCACCAGATATATATAGTGGGGCAAAAAAGTATTTAGTCAGCCACTGATTGTGCAAGTTCTCCTACTTAGAAATATGAGAGAGGTCAGTATTTTTCATCATAAATGCACTTAAACTATGAGAGACAAAATTAGGAAAAATAATCCAGGAAATCACATTGTAGGATTTTTAAAGAATTTATTTGTAAATTATGGTGGAAAATAAGTCCATCCATCCATTATCTTTACCCGCTTATTCCATTTTGGGTCACGGGGGTCGCTGGTGCCCATGTCCAGCAATCACTGTGCGAGGGGCGGGGGACACCCTGGACAGGTCGCAAGTCCATCACAGGGACACGTGGAAAATAAGTATTTGGTCAAAAACAAAAGTTCAGCTCAGTACTTTGTAACATAACCTTTGTTGGCAATGACAGAGGTCAAACGTTTCCTGTAAGCCTTCACCACTGTAGCTGGTATTTTGGCACATTCCTCCACGCAGATCTGTCCTAGACCATTGATGTTCTGGGGCTGTCGCTGGGCAACATGGACTTTCAACTCCCTTCACAATTTTTCTATGGGGTTGAGGTCTGGAGACTGGCTAGGCCACTCCAGGACCTTGAAATGCTTTGTACGGAGCCAATCCTTTGTTGCCCAAGCTGTGTGTTTGGGATCATTGTCATGCTGAAAGACCCAGCCATGTACCATATTCAATACTCTCACTAATGGAAAGAGGTTTTGGCTTAAAATCTCATGATACATGGCCCTGTTCATTCTTCCCTTAAAACGGCTCAGTCGTTCTGCCCCCTTTGCACAAAAACAGCCCCAAAGCATGATGTTTCCACCCCCATGCTTCACAGTAGGTATGGTGTTCTTGGGATGCAACTCAGCATTCTTCTTCCTCCAAACACGACAAGTTGAGTTTTTACCAAAAAGTTCTATTTTGGTTTCATCTGACCACATGATATTCTCCCAGTCCTCTTCTGGATCATCCATATGCTCTCTGGCAAACTTCATACGGGCCTGGACAAGTACTGGCTTAAGCAGTGGGACATGCATGGCACTGCAGGACTTGAGTCCTTCTCTGTGGACTGTGTAGCCTTTATTACTTTGGTTCCAGCTTTCTGCAGGTCATTCATCAGATCCCTCCGTGTGTAGTTCTGGGATTTTTGTGCACCGTTCTCATGATCATTTTGACCCCACAGGAAGAGATCTTGCATGGGGCCCCAGATCGAGGGAGATTATCAATGGTCTTGTATGTCTTTCATTTTCTTACAATTGCTCCCACAGTTGAATTTTTTTTTGAATGTCCAGAGGACCAGATTGAACTTTTTTTTAGATTTTTCTACATTATCATGACTTTTGAGTTTTGTTCTCATAAATTTTTCTGAGCGTGTGAGTGCTAGACCTCTGTCCAACAGAAACTGCTGCTCACAGAGACCCCTGTCTCTGTCCCTGTCTTTTTCTCAGCCTGTCTCTGCCTTTGTCTCTGTTTCATCATCTCTAAGCCCATCTGACAGCCCAATAGAACTTTTAGGAACTACAGATAAATGTTTGTGATATCTGCCGAGTTCCTCAGTTGTTTTTCTGTTTCTTCTTCTGTGGTGTTTTGTCTGCAGGGACCTTCCTCAGTATGGACACAAACAGTGGCAGTCATACTTTGGGAGGACATTTGACGTCTATACCAAACTGTGGAAGTTCCAGCAGCAGCACAGGTGACCAACCCATTGACTCATTTCATTCAGAACAGGATTCATGTGTGTGGCCTTTCAAAGATATCAACAGCTGCAGAATTAAAAGTATTTTCTAGATTTAACTAGGTTGAGTTAGAGTTACGATTTCTGGCCCATGCCTGACCCGACCCGAAATTCGGGCTGGGTCGGGCCAAAATTATGTGCTTGATGGGCGGGGCGGGTCGGTCTCGGGCTTTTGATGCAGTTTCAATTGCGCATGTGTCCTCCGCCTGCCCTGCTTTGCTCTTATCACACATCTGAGGATTTGCAATTGACACACAACAAGCAACATAATTGAACTGGAAAGTATTAAACAAAAGCTAAAAACAGGAGAACTCACTCTACAAAGCCAGCACAGTGAAACCTGTTGATGTGTCAGGTGCACGCTCAGTTTCGACCAGCCGGTTGAAAGAGGTAAAAAAAAAAAGTCCTGTTAAGCTTCAGATGGGCAACCGGGTCATCGGCCGTGTGCGTCCTCTGACCGACTGGTTGAAAGAGGTAAAAAAAAGTCCCGTTAAGCTCCCGATGGATCAATCGATCATCGGACGCACGCATCCCGCTTTGCACCCTGCTCTCATCTGGGGTGGAAGAAGTTGCAGCACCTGAAGCTACAAAAGCCAAGGTGAACAGTGTGTTCAATTAAAATAGCCTTGTTCTATATTTACATCCATCCATTTTCTTCCGCATATCCAGGGTTGGGTCGCGGGGAGTAGCAGCCTAAGTAGGGAGGTCCAGACTTCCCACACCCCAACCACTTGGGCCAGCTCCTCCTGGAGATTCCCAAGGCGTTCCTAGGCCAGCCGATAAACATAGTCCCTCTAGCATGTCCTGGGTCTTCCTCAGGGTCTCCTCCTGGAGGAATGTGTCTGGATCACCTCACAAGGGAGGCGTCCAGGAGGCATCCTAACCAGATGCCCGAGCCACCTCAACTGGATCCTCTCGACATGGAGAAGCAGTGGCTCTACTCTGAGTCCCTTCCAGATGACCGAGCTTCTCACCCTATCTCTAAGGGAGAGCCCAGACACCCTGCGAAGAAAACTCATTTTGGCCACTTGTATCCGTGATCTTGTTCTTTCGGTCATAAACCAAAGCTCTTGAACATAGATGAAGGTAGGAATGTAGATCAACTGGTAAATCGAGAGCTTCGCATTTTGACTCAGCTCTTTCTTCACCATGATAGACTGGTATAGTGCCCGTTTCACTGCAGACACCGCACCCATCTGCCTATCGAGCTCTCGCTCTATTTTTCCGTCATTCGTGAACAAGACCCCGAGATACTTCTGTAGTATGACATATGCAGGATATATTCATACATTTCACGGGTTCTTCATTTTTCTGACTGTGTAAATGTCGTGCATTGAATTTAACAGAAATGTAACAAGAGACGTTATTTATCTTTGACCCATCAAAATGAATGTGGTCATTTATTTACAGAATCAAAGTTTAACATCAAACATTTGCATTAATTTGGCAAAATATGAAAACAATAACATGGCTAGTTTCACAGGAAGTGGGAACAATACGGAGATTGTTGTCACTTTTCAGCAGAACAGCAGACATCAATCACACGGCGGTGATTGAGAAACTTTGCTTCAGACATTTCTAAAATATCTGTAATGATTTTAGGAGAAAGGAGAGTTTAAGATGGAAAATGGAGATTTATCTTACAGAGAGATGTGTGAGGGAATTTATCTGTTTGGCCAGAACGGGCACGCTCCTTCAGATCTCAGCTTGGTCACGGTACGCTTGGTCGAAATAGAACTTTTACCTGGTTGATGATAGATCAGGTCGGCGTGAAGTCCTTCTTTTGACTCTTTCAGCGTCTCCGTTGAGAACAGCTAAAATACTTTTAGGAGTCATGTGAGGTTATCCAAACAGAAGTTATAATTCCCAAAATCGTCTCTGGATTCTGGATTCCAATAGAAGCATCCTGGACGCCTGCGTTAGCATCCAAGAACTCTGAACTCTTTAACTCTCTTCAGAGAGTTAAAGTCTGGAACTCTTCTCCAGGAAAAACTTTCAAGCTCTGAAAAACTCGTCTCGACTCATCTCGACACAGTCTTCAGACCTTTTTCGACACCTCTCATTGAGAACTGGGAAGTTGCCACATTTAAATGGGTTCGACTTCCGGGTCATTTGAGAGCTTTTTGATTGGTCGATGGACCAGAACAGAGGTGTGGTTTGTGATGTAAGGTGTTATGGAAAGTCAAGGATAGAGATTAAGATTGTTTAAAACAGACAGAAAGATTATTGGAGAAAACCAGACTTTGTGGAGTCAAACTCTCCTGTATCTTCTGTAAAAGTTAAACATGACATTTCTTTTCAGTAAACTTTTTAGTTGACCGAAACCTGAACTTTAACACACACTTACAAACTTGCTCATTGAAGACAGAAAAATCAAGAACTGCATATTACCCTGATTTCTTCTTTGAATGAGGAATAAAAATCATTACTTACTGTTTATGTAAATAAAATGAGTAGTTCTCTTCAACCTGTAAACATTGAGTGAACTAACACAATTTGATTATCAAAACATTTGTAAAATAGTAATGATCATAGAGAATTGTCATTTCTACTTGATTAATTCAAGAAAGAAAGTCTCCGGATGGGTCAAACTGTATTTCTGGATCAGATCAATGAAATGACAGTTTCTGTCCATCTGGTCAGATTTGACATCAGGTCAAGTTCACTACACTTCAACTCCTCCACTTGGGGCAGGACCTCCTCCCCGACCCGGAGAAGGCACTCTACCCTCTTCCGGCTCAAGACCATGGTCTCGGATTTGGAGGCACTGAACCTCATCCTGGTCATTACACACTCGGCTGCGAACCGCTCCAGCAAAAGCTGTAGATCACAACCTGATGAAGTCAATAGGACCACATAATTTGCAAAGAGAAGCGATCCTCAGGCCACCAAAACGGATCCCTTCAACACCTTGGCTGCACCTAGAAATTCTGTCCATAAAAGTTATGAATAAAATCAGTGACAAAGGGCAACCTTGGTGGAGTCCAACTCTCATTGGAAACGAGCCCGACTTATGGCCGGCAATGTGAACCAAGCTCTGACACTGGTCATACAGGGACCTAACAGCCCGTATCAAAGGGCCTGGTACCCTCATACTCCCAGAGTACCCCCCTCAGGGTTCCCCGAGGGACACGGTCGAATGCATTCTCCAAGTCCTCAAAGCACATGTATACTGGTTCGGAAAATTCCCACGCACCCTCCAGGACCCTGTTGAGGGTGTAGAGCTGGTCCAGTGTTCCATAACCAGGGTGAAAACCACACTGCTCTTCCTGAATCCGATGTTCGACTATCCGACAGACTCTCCTTTCGAGAACCCTTGAATAGACCTTACCAGGGAGGCTTAAGAGCGTGATCTCCCTGCTCTTCTCTGTAAAAACTTGCCTGAGTCGGTTGGACATCCAGATTGACAATTAACTAGAAATCAGTCCAGAAAGCAATTCAATTCAGGTTATTTATATAGTGCTAAGTCATAACAGAAGTCATCTCAGGGCACTGAACAGAAGAGATGTAGTCTTCCACACTTGACTGCTGCTTCTCTGTTACCCACCCAAAACCCCAATGAAACAGTGCTAACTCACCCACAGTTCAAATTAAATAAACCAAACCATAATAATCTTATTAAAATAAACAAAACTACTTTACCAGAACAAAAGAATAAAATCATTAAATGTGGACTATTGAACATCAGATCTCTTTCCTCTAAATTCCTGTTAGTTAATGACCTGATAACTGATCATCATATTGATTTATTCTGTCTGACAGAAAACTGGCTAATACTGGAAGATTTTGTTAGTATTAATGAATCCACTCCATCTAATTATTTAAAATTTTTGTTCCTAGAACAACAGGTCGTGGCAGAGGTGTAGCTTCTATTTTTCAGTCTGGACTATTAATTAATACTAAACCAATTATTAGTTACAATACTTTTGAGTCGCTGTCTATAAGTCTATCCCATTCGAAATGGACAACAGAAAGGCCACTCTCATTAGTTGTTCTATATCGTCCACCAGGCTCCTATGCTCACTTTTTGTCTGAATTCTCAGAATTATTAACTGACTTACTACTAAATACTGATAAAGTCATAATAATGGGTGATTTCAATATTCATGTAGATGTTGAAAATGATAGCTCAAGCGTAGCCTTTAAAAATTTTAAATAGTCATTTGGTTTTACCCAAAACGTCCAAACATCTACTCATTCTCATCATCACACCCGTGACCTGGTTCTGACCTATGGCTTTGAGATTAATTAGTAATGCATCCTCAAAATTCTGTTCTGTCTGACCCCCACCTGTCTTACAATCTTACTTTTCCTGGAGAGATAGCCTTCTAACGTACAAAAAAGTGCTCTGTAAAGCCAGAACTTTGTTTTTCATCTTTAAATGATGAGAATAAAAGTAACCCCAGGTTACAATGTCCAGAGGACCAGACTTAACTTTTTTAGATTTTTCTACCTGGTTTATTGAGCATGCATCAGGAAATCCCAGGTTCCTTTTCAGTACCACATCTAGTCTAATGAAAAGTCATATCTCTGTTGATTCATGTATCCCTACAACTATGAGCAGTGAGTTCATGAGATTCATTATAAATACATTTTTTTCAATTAGGGAAAAAAAATTAAAACCAGCATTCCTAGTATTGCCTCTGGGTCTGTGTCAGATTAGACAACTTTAAAAACATTAATAGAACCTGATTTATGTTTGGACTGTTTTTATCCTGTTGAGCTCTCTGAATTGTCAAAAATAATAGCTTCATCCAAGCCATCCACATGTCTGCTAGATCCCATCCCAACCAGGCTATTTAAACACATATGTCCCTTAATTAATAATCACGTCTTGGATCTGCTTAATGTGTCTCTAATAAACAATTACGTATCACAGAGCTTTAAGATTGCGGTAATTAAACCCTTTACTTAAGAAACATAACCTTGACTCAGGAATCTTAGCCAATTATAGATTTATATCTAATGTAATTTTCATTTAAAAAAATTCTAGAGAAAATAGTTGCTGTTCAGTTGTGTGATCATGTACAAAGAAATAATCAGTTTGAAGAGTTTCAGTCAGGGTTTAGAGCTCACCACATCACAGAAACAGCACTAGTAAAAGTCACTAATGATATTCTCATGGCCTCAGACAATGGACTTGTGTCTATACTGGTCCTGTTAGACCTCAGTGCTGCATTGATACAGTTGATCACAATATTCTTCTACAGACTTGAGTATGATACTGGGATTACAGGAACAGCTCTAAATTGGTTTAAATCATATTTACATCAGAACAAGGTGTGATGATTAGAGTGAGTAGATGTGCGAATGTTTTGGGTAAAAACAAATGAGTCTATTAAATTATTAAAGGCTATGTTTAAGTTATCACTTTCAACATCCACATGAATATTAAAATCACCCATTATGATGTTTTTATCAGTATTTAATAATAAGTCAGTTAATAATTCTGAGAATTGGGACAAAAACTGAGAGTAAGCGCCTGGTGGACGATATATAACAACTAGTAAAAGTGGCTTTTCTGATTTCCATTTTGGATGAGAAAGTCTGAGGGACAGTGATTCAAAAGAATCATAACTAATAACTGGTTTGGCATTAATCAATAATCCTGACTGAAAAATAGAAGCTACTCCTCCACCTCGGCCAGTTGTTCTAGGAACATGAAAATTTAAATAATTAACAGGAGTGGATTCATTTATACCAACAAAATCCTCCTGTTGTAGCCAAGTTTCTGTCAGACACAATAAATCAATATGATGATCAGTTATCAGTTCATTAACTAACAGGGATTTAGAGGAAACAGATCTGATGTTCAATAATCCACATTTAATGATTTTAGGATTTTGCTCTGGTAAAGTAACTGTGTTTATTTTAATCAGATTTTTATGGTTTATATTTTTAGAGATGATTTTTGGTTTATTTAATTTGAGCCGTGGGCGAGTTGACCCTGTTTCAATGTGGGTGTGGGTGGGTAACAGAGGAGAAGCAGCAGAGAGGTGGAGGACTACAACTCTGCTTCCTGGACTGGACCCTGGGTTGTCAATAATTTGGGGGATAAACAAAATCATCCATATTTCTAGAAAGAAGAGCGGCTCCGTCCAAAGAGGGATGGGTGCCATCTCTCCACATCAGACCGGGTTTTCCCCAGAAAGAACTCCAGTTATCTATGTAGCCCACGTCGTTGTCAGAACACCACCTGGACACCCAGCGGTTAAATGACGACATACGACTAAACATGTCATCGCTGGTCAGGTTGGGGAGGGGGCCGGAGAAAACTACGGAGTCCGACATGGTTTTATAAAGTCACACACCGAAGCAACATTAATTTTAGTGACCTCCGATTGACGTAACCAGGTGTCATTACCTCCGACGTGAATAACAATCTTACTGTATTTAACCTTAGCCTTAGTCAGCAGTTTCAGATAAGATTCTATGTCGCCCGCTCTGGCCCCCGGAATGCATTTAACTATGGCCGCTGGAGTCAGGTGGCATTCCACCTCCCGAGAGCCAGCTTCTGTAGCTGAGGATCAGACCGGCAAGATCCCTGCCCTCGGCCACCACCACATTGCACCCGACCCCTTTGGCCCCTCCCACATGTGGTGAGCCCGTGGGAAGGGGGACCCACGTGTCTGTGCCTGGCCGGGCTCCATGGGTGAAAGCCCGGCCACCAGGCACTCGCTAGCGTGCCCCACCTCCAGGCCTGGCTCCAGAGTGGGGCCCCAGTGACCCGTGTCTGCGTGAGGGAACATTTTTTCCATTTATTGTATTCATCGTAAGGGGTCTTTGGGCTTCTTTTTGTGTGGTCCCTCACCTAGGTCCTGTCTGCCTTGGGTGACCCTACTAGGGGTATGAAGCCCCTGACAGCATAGCTCCTAGGATCATTGGGACACTCCAACCCCTCCACCACAGTAAGGTGGCAGCCAAGGGAGCGGTTGTTCTATATTTTTCCAAATAATTTGGCTCCAAAAATATTTAGTTCATCCGTGTAATATCCTGTCTTTATAGTTTATTTTTTAGGCTATTTGTTTTGTACGTTAATATCCATTTGGTGACTTGTTAATAAACAAGAAATCTTACATCTTCCTTTCTTTGAAATACGTTTTTAAAAGTATCATGTCAAACTGATTTCCTTACAAAAGCAGTAAAAGCTTAATAAAATTTTAATTTATTTTATTTTATTTTTTTCAGGTTCGGACCTCTAATTAGTTAATTAGTTGGATCGGGTTGGGTTGAGCTTGGAAAAAACGCCTATGAGGTCGGGCTGGGCCGGGTCGGATCTTTTAGGCCCGAATGCAACTCTAGGTTGAATCAGGTCCTCTCAGTGGATTAAAGAAGAATCCATCCTGAGGACCTGACTCAACCTTGTTAGATTTATCTACCTGGATTTTTGAGCAGCATCAGGACATTTTATCGATTCTGTCTCTACCAGATCAGCTCAGTGTGCCGAAGATTATAAAGAAAAACACAAAGCTATAAAAAACATAAACACATGGAGTTCATGGGTCGATAAATGCCTCAATTTATTGGTTTCTACAAACACAGACATCCCTACTGGCTCTACGTGTTCTTTCATCCAGATGTCTTTGTCTCCAGATGTTTTATTTTGTCTCCAGATGTTTTTTGTGTTCTCCAGATGTTTTTCTCATCTCCAGAATTTTTTCCTCTTCTGCAGATGTTCTTTTCTTCTTCTCCAACTGTTTTCCCTTGTCTACAGATGTTTTTTCTGTTTTCCTGATGCTTTTTTCCTCTTCTCCAGATATTTTTCTCTTCTCCAGATGTTTTTTCTCTTCTCCAGATGTTTTTCCTTTTCTCCAGATGTTTTTCCTTTTCTCCAGATGTTTTTCCTTCTTCTCCATATGTTTTTCCTCTTCTCAAGGTGTTTTCCTCTTCTCCAGATGTTTTTTTCCTCTTCTCCAGATATTTTTCTCTTCTCAAGATGTTTTTTCTCTTCTCCAGATGTTTTTTCTCTTCTCCAGATGTTTTTCTCTTCTCCAGATGTTTTTCCTTCTTCTCCAGATGTTTTCCTTCTCGGTGTGTTTCTGTTTAAAGTCACTGTTGTTCTTGTGTTTTTTCCGACAGGCAGGTTCTGGACACCAGGTACGGTCTGAAGAGATGGCAGATCGGAGAAGTTGCTTCTAAAATTGGACAACTTTATTACCATTATTAGTAAGTAGCAACCCGCAGGGTTGGGACCGTGCAAAATTCTTGATCTGAGTTTCCTTTCTAAATTGTATATGAGAAACAGGAAGTGCTGAGCAAACATAAATGAAGGTGAAGGTTGACCTGCGGCGTTTTACAGAAAATATCTGACACTGTTTGATGTTTGTCGAAGATCGGCTTCAGTCATGGGGATAATAAATCTGCAGATCTGTCACTCTGAGGGACCGCAGACCAGCAGTTTCAGGAACAAAGATTTTATTACTTTTTTTTTTACAATGCCACAGTTTTATTTTTAGTCATTTTGAAACTTTATTTACAAAAATTTCCCATAGAAACATATGGAGATTGCTTCATTTAGAAACTTGTTGAATCTACTTCAACTACTTTTACTACTGTTAACTTTTAGCTTTTAGCTACCTTCAGAACACCAGGCATTTAGCTTTTTTACTTTTTAACTCGTTTTGCTTTTGTAGCTTTAGTAGCTTAAAGAAACTGTCCAGATGACATGATTGAACTTTTTTGTTTTATTTACCTGGATGATTGTGTGTACTTACTCTTTTTCTTTAGTAGCTCAGTTTCAACAGGTTTCAGCTGTCGTTCAGCTGTGTTTGAGCAGGTTCCAGCTGTCGTTCAGC